AAGGTGTATAAATCAGATTTTTCTTCTCTTGAATGAGGAAGACTGGTGTCAAGCCAAATCCAGGGTGCTGCTGACACACAAGCCCTTTCTTGTGGAAGGAGTGCTGTGGAGAGCCTGAAGGAGCCAAGGCTGCTGCTACTGCTGCTGCCAGGATGGAGGAGAGTGTAGAGGCAGCAGTAACTGCTGGGAAAAGTGTCCATTGTGTCTATCCACTGTGCAGTGTCCACCTGTTTTCTCCCTTTGCCCAAAGAAATGCCCTAGTGAGGAAGGTTTCCAGGGCTGGACAGTGAGGTCCTGGCCTTTTCCCTTACATCAGATGTTCACTCCCTCTGCCTGTGCCCTGAGCTGACCCCAGACAAAGCAACCTGCAAACTCCTGGCTGATTTGCCAGCAGCACACACCTGGTTCAGCTGAAATCACTCTTTCCAATTTACTTCTTTCTACTGCTACGTCTTTCAGCCTTAATAATTTTGATGTCAACATCATGGCTAAGGTAGCTTCTTGAGCCCGTATTTCTGCTTTTCCTATATAGAACATGATGTTCATTTTACAGAACTTAAGCCTTTCATAAGCCCTACGACCTCACCCCAGTCAGCTGTACATTTTACAAAGCAGTTTGAAGGTAGAATAATTGTCCATTTGAAAGATTTCTGCAGCTGCTGTGCCCATGACCTGGATACCTGCTGCATTCTCCTGAGTTTAATAAGACCTGATCTATTGTTATATTGTATTACAAGTGTTCATCAAAATACACTTGATTCTGTTTTAGACAAAACATAGCTGTGTTTTTATGCACAGGTGAGTTGCTTCTGCAGCCAACATTAAAAAGCATCCCATGGGGTAATTGTCACAAATCAATGAAAATGAAACGAGCAACTCTCTTCAACAACTATAATGCAAGTTCAAGTTGTTAGACCATGGTGTTTAGTTTTTGGCATTTTTTACAGAGAAAATGTATGGGTGTTGAATAAAGAATGGATGCATGTGTTTATGTACAATTTTTAAGCCTAAAACTTATTACTTGAAAGCACTAAATATGGAATGGGATTTTGAAAACTTAGCTTCAAATTTACTTTTGATTGCCTGCATTTTAATACTTTTTTAGAACTGATTTTTAAGAACTGGAATACAGAACTAAGAGGGAAAAAGTCGGCACAGACTCAGGGATGGAATGACAATGGCTCTCAAATGTATATGGGCAGATGTTTACTTCTTTTTAAATGTCAGCAAGCAGCAATAAACTTCAATTTATTGGTGACACTTCTTCACTATGGAAGTCTGAATGTAGTGACAACTGTGACCTGAGGGTTACATTATTCCCAACAATACAGATAGAAGGGGAGTTAATGCTTATAGATGCTTGACGTTTACATACTACTGACTTTATAGAAGGCGAATCAAAATTTCATTATGAATAATGGACTTTTTTATTTGGTTTTTGAATTTTACTTGGACTTCACATCTGCCTTTAAAATGTAAATTTCTACTCCAGGAACTTGTCACAAAGAAAAATAATGGGGTATGATTGATGTGACTGTTGCCTCTGATGTTGTTTCACAAATAAAAGAATCAGTCTTCAAAACAGACCTGTTTCCAGTCTTGTATTTTATAAACAAAACATGACCAAATCTGGAAAATCTTTTTTGCAGTAAAGAAGTCTGGCCAATCAACTAAGGACTGAGCTGTGAAAAGATTTCTAAAGGTCAGGGTTACTCATATGCTTTAGTATAAATACACTTTAAATGTTTCTCTTTATTGACACAGGGGTGCAGTTGAGAGCCTTGAACCTCAACTCCATATTCAACTTCACTATGGAAAAAAGCCTGAAAACACTCCCAAAAGTATTTATACAGGATTTTACTAAAACTCTTCTCTGAAGAAGTTGTGTATCTTATTATTTTATTCTTGTAGAAAGATAAAATGCATAGAGACATCTGTGTATGTATGACCAGATGTTGATTGTTGTGCCTTAGATATTCAATGTAATCAAAAGCGGGACAGTAGCTGAAAACTGTGGTTTTTTATTGTTTCTGAGGTGCTAATTAAATGTTCCTTTAAAATTTTACTGACATTATATTGACTGTATGTTTATTATACCTATATATATGCATTAAATAGGAACAAAGAGCTTAGTAGTAATTAATATTTTAAATCAATGTACTGGAATCCTCATTCCTGAGATAAAATTTTACCAGTGTATGTCAAATATTTTTATTATTGGAACAACATAAAAATAACATAACCAGCCATTGGAGTGAGCAAAAAGAAGGACATCCGTGTACATTTTTACAGTAATAACTTCTGGATTAACCCACTGAGGAGTAAATATAAGGCCTAGACTTAGCAGGGTACGTAGGAGGGTTCCCATCCCTTTTAGACATGCCTACTATTTTCTCCATTGACTAGAATGGAAAATTTTGGAGCCAAACAAATTTTTGGAGGTGAGTTATCTGATAAAGACAATTGTGAATTCTAGTCACTGACTGAAGAACGCTGCATGCAGTTTCTTGCTCTTTCTGAAGTTCCTAGGCTATTTTAGCTTAAGTAGATCTTTTCACATCAAATAGTGTTCAGGAAAACAATAAAATAAATTCAGTAAAACTAGATTAAAGGAAATGTGTGAGGCACATGCTTAAGAGATCTTGTTCGCAAAGACATTAAGTTTATTCTCTTTAAGTGCAATTCAATACTTTTACTGCTTTTTTTTCTTGTAGTTTTTCAGCTAATCCCTGTATTTAACTATATATTTATTTGTACTGAATTCATAACAGCTTTTCCATCTCAACTTTCTTTTTCATGAAAATTTTAGTCTAGATAAGAAGAACAGTGGTTTAACACGTCAATACCTGTTTGATTACGACAACCTCAATCACCATCATGAGTGTTTTCAGTGTGGGAACTTTCATTCACTCATGTAAAAGCCGATGCCTGAAGGTCTTTGAGAAAAGCTACAATATAGTTGTATAGTTATAAGGGTTTTTCCCCCTAATGCTCAGCGTAGTCTTATAGGAACTGTATAGCAACTTTAGAATAGATATGTAGCAGAAAAGCAAAGCTTGAACCACAGAACTGTCAATTAAATATCTAAAGGAAACCAATAGTCAACTCTCCCATCCAAATAATGAATGCGATTTTCAGTTTGATTCCCACTAAAATTGATTTTGTTTCTATACCCACTTTTCCTGCCTACCTTTCTGTTAAGTGTAATATCCTTTGTTCTAACCTTTCAGGCCATTCTGCACAAAACATATTATTTTGCGAGAAAACAGAGGTGTGAGTAGTGAGGACCAGCAGCACATCAGATGGAGGATTGCATTAGCTTCATCAAAACCAGGGCTGCACTCCAGACATCCTGGAAAATGAGTGGTGTCTGGCAACATTACATGATTCATCAGTTGTATTCAAAACGTTTCTTGTATCTCCTTCACCACATGAAGGAATTCATAGGCAAACACAGGCATCAGCAACACTAGGAAAATCTATAGACTTCTGCACATTTTCACAATATATTCAGAGACTTTCCAACAAGTGTGTGATATCTGATATATCCTAGAAATGTTTAACAGTGTTCTTTCTCACATCCCTTGCAGAAGTAGAGACTGATAGATTCGCATGGTAATCAAACATGTCAACAGAACTGTAAAGAATGCACATTACAAAAAATTCCAAACTCAAGTCTGTGAAGAATCCCTACTAGGTTATTTTTGCTTGATATATTTATAAACACTTGAATGAGTTATAACATATGTAGAAACCAACTCAATCCAAATAAAAGTTTCTTAGATCTATATAAACTGAATTGTGCTCTCCCGTGATGTGTTCCTTTGGACGTAATGGAACAGACCATACATTAGTTTAATTAAAATCTAGATCTGCAGAAGTCGATGGCTTTGCAGCCAGCTGATGCGCAGCTGCTGAGATGCTTCAATATAAGTAGCAAAAAGAAAGGTAGGAAAAAACCCCGTCAAACTGCAGACTGAAAAATATGCAAGCAAAAGCTCGCTGCCTCCAACAGCACATCTGGGCAGTTCTGTTGGTCACTGCTGCTGCCAGCGGTAGCTCACTGACTGGTAATTTGGAAACAAATGGATATAAAACCTCAGGCAAATCCGTTTCTTTCACAAGGTGTATGTGCCGGCGAGAATGTTCTCATGAACTCGCATCCTTGTGAGGGAGCAAGTTCCATGTTTAACCCCGTTCTGAAAGGACTGGCTTTCCAGGAGCTCCCGTTTCGGGCCCGTGTAGCGCTGCCCGCGGCTGCCCGGCTCCGAGGAGCCCCGGGGCCCTCAGCAAGGACGCGCTCCTGCCGCGGCGGAGCCCTCGAACGCCGTGATTTGGCACTGAAAAGCGGCTGGACTTCCTAGTCCATTTCTTTTGCTTTGTGTGTGTGTGGTTTTGTCTTTGGTTTTTGTTGTTTTTTTATTAACAATTTAACAGGAAGGCGTGACAATGTCTGCCGCCTTTTGTCATTTGAGATAGTCAGTGATTAATGGAGGATACTTGTGAAGGAGGAGAGAAGAGCGAGCACAAGCGGCGCTTAGTCCGGAGAAACTCCTGTTGCCCGCTACCTGTTGAGATTGGTTCACGGGCGCGCTCCATCATTTCTGACTGTCCAAGCGAGCACACAGATGCCCGGCCAGACCAGCCGAGCGCCGCCTAGCCCTGCTGGGAGACACGGCTCCGCAGCCCCCCTGGGAGCGGAGGCACCGAGCCGAGAGAAGTTTTCCGGGAAGAGGACCGGGGTTCCGGCTGCCGCCCTGGGGGCGGGCGTGGGGGCGCCTGCAAGCTGAAGGGTGGGAAGAAAAGGCGGGGGGAAATAAAGAGGGCAAGAAAACCCCACCTCCCCTTTCTCCGAGGACACGTTCCCGGGGAGCTCAGTCTGCCGAGGCAGCGCAGAGGCGCGGAGACTCCGCGGCTGTGCGGGCGGGGCGGGCACGGCCGGAGCGCCTCCCCGGCGGGGGCGGCGGGGGCGCGGGGCCGAGCGGGCGGAGCGNGCGCCGGCTCCGCTCCCGGCCGCGCAAGCTGCGCCCAGCGCGCCGGCACCTCCACCCTTCCCTCCCCGCCGCCCCGTGCTGCTGGGGCGGCTGCCCCGGGCTCGCCGCGGTCCGAGGTGCCGGGAAGCGGCGGCTCCGCGTTCCGCCCGCGGAAACTTGGCCCGGCGCGCAGGGAAAGGATGGAGCCAGGAGAGCCCGCGGCGGCGCCCCTCAACCTGTCCCGAGCCGCGGCAGAGACGCCCCGCGGGGAGTTCAACCTGTCCGGGCTGCCGGAGGCTGAGGGGAAGCCCCTCTTCGGCATCGGCATTGAGAACTTCATCACCTTGATCGTCTTCGGTTTAATCTTCACCCTGGGTGTGCTGGGCAACACCCTGGTGATCACGGTGCTGGCGAGGAGCAAGCCAGGCAAGCGCCGAAGCACCACCAACATCTTCATCCTCAACCTGAGCATTGCCGACCTGGCCTACCTGCTCTTCTGCATCCCCTTCCAGTCCACAGTCTACGTGCTCCCCACCTGGGTGCTGGGAGCCTTCATCTGCAAGTTCATCCACTACTTCTTCACCATCTCCATGCTGGTGAGCATCTTCACACTCTCGGCCATGTCTGTGGACCGGTACGTGGCCATCGTGCACTCCCGGCGCTCCTCAGCCTTGCGTGTCCCCCGCAACGCAATGCTGGGTGTGGGGCTCATCTGGGCGCTCTCCTTCGCCATGGCCTCGCCTGTGGCTCACCACCAGCGCATCTTCCACCGCGAGACCAGCAACCAGACCTTCTGCTGGGAGTTCTGGCCCAACCCACGCCACAAGAAGGTCTACGTGATTTGCACATTCGTCTTCGGGTATCTGCTCCCGCTGCTGCTCATCTCCTTCTGCTATGCCAAGGTGGGGCAAGTGTAAAAGGATGGGAGGGACACGGTAGTGGAAAATGTGTCCATGAGCCATAGGGCTGTTTCTGGGCATGTGGAGAGACTTGGCAGTGTTGGGAGAAAAAGGAGCAGGGGTGAGTTTGTGCCACAAAGGGAGAGGGCAGGTGTTATAGCTGAGGGATGTCTGAGGGGTGACATATGTTCACTATCACAGAGAGGTCAAAACAGGGAATGCATGGGGTGAGTGGGAAGGGGTGTTCAGGCAATTAGAGGGGTCTCCCTGTCAGATTTCCCTGTTGCAGGATGCTAAGAAACCCCGGTGCTCTGCTGCTTTCTCCATCATCATAACTCTTAATTTCTTGCAGCGCTGCATGAGGAGTTTGACTCAATAAAGTACAACAAAGCAACAAGTTGTTCAAGCTTCAGATGAAGCATTGTGGTTCTTTAAAATGTCCAGTGCACTTGAAAGTGACAAAAATTATCTGTTTGGTGTTAAGACTAAAATGTACTTCATGCTGCCTGGTACCTGTGGTGCCATGTCTTGCCCCAGTTGAAGTTGATGAGAGAGTTACCTCTCTGACTTAGGCAAAAGCAGGTGGTTCCAGGGAGCAGGGCATGAGAACCCAGATAGGAAAAAGCAATAGTTAAGGGTGCCTGAGTATGAGTATTTAAGGACTTCTCTGCTTAAGCAAATTGTCACATTTTTCTGGAGTAATAATTGCAGTCTTCAGCGTACAATCCTCTGCTTGCTGCTGAACAGGATCTGGAGCACCAGTGTCCACCTGCTGATATCTTGCTGTTTGTGTCAGCTGCCTTCGGTTGCAGGATATCTCCTTAGGCAGTGATTTACATTGGAGAGGGTAGGACTGCTCTTGCAAATACAGACTGCTTAAGTCAGTTCTTCAACTGGGAAGTTCAATAGATGTACCTGAAGTATTTAATTTGAACAAGTAATTTTATGTTCTGCTCAGTTTCACATATATTACATCAGCTTAATTGTGATGTGCAAATTTTGGCTGTAATGTTGTCCAACTCTGATGAAGCCAAGGCATGCAGAACACAAAGGACAACATTTCTAAATGGCTGTTCATAGTGGAACAAATCCAGCCTGGCAAATGAAGAAGAAATACAAGTTTTCATACATAAACCAAATCCTGCTTTCCCTGAATGAATACATTGGTATTTCATCTGCTGTGGTGGATATGACTGAGCTGTAGCAACAGATCATCAGTTTGAAAAAACTATTACACATTGCAGGGGGAACACTACAGAATGTGTGCATAGGGAGCTTTCAGCTACTAATTCTTCCCTTTTTCAGAGCCAAAGCATCTTCTGTTTCAGCATAAAGTGCTGGCCTTTAACATCTAATTATATGAGAATAGGTTAAAAAGAAATCTTTCAAAATTAGCATAGTCCTGTAACAGTGTAAGCATGAAAAAAGCAAATATGCTTAACCAGAATATATGCATAGTAAATAAAACACACTCTGTCATTACAAAGCACCTCTACAGAAGTAAATCTCTCAATATTAGTATTAATATGTAGTTTTTAAAAAAAGCAACTAAAACCCCTCCAAGCCAACAAAAGCAACTTTATGTGAAAAATATGCCCAATAACAAATTAATAAAATCAAGGCCACTCGAAATTACAATAAAATTGTGTGCTTAAACTATTGCCAGCCTAGCCTCTTATTCTGGCTTTGTGATGTGTTTTGAGCCTCTGTGTGTGAAACTGCTTGCCAGTGTCAGGCTGGAGGAGCTGACCTGAAGGGGTGAATTTTGGAAGATAGCTAGGAGGTAGCTGGTACTACCATCAGTTTACAGGCTGGAAAGTGCCGTGACTTGTACAGAGCTATCGAAGGTATTTGTACCCTGCAGCTGAAGAGTCACTCCTGTCTTCTTTAGGAGCCACTGACAAACCTCCAACTGCAGTATTTTGGGACAGGGAGAGCCTTCTCAGGCTGAGCAACCCCAGCTCTCTCAGCCTGTAGACATTAGGAGACATTAATTCCTGCATTAGTTTCTTATGGACTTCACTAGTTCTCATGAACTGTGGATCAGTGAGATAACACAATCTTCTGCTGCAGTAAATTAAGACAAAGGAGACTCATTTCTCTATTTAAATATATTGCCTTTTCTAGACTCCTTTAAGGCAGTTGTGTTTCTTTCATAAACAAATTGTAATTGAACTTTCAGTTTTGAAAGTCTCATTTTTTAGGCACTCTAATAGGGAGCCAAGTTCTTTTTCTCTCTCACTTCACATTTACATTTATTAGAAGAGCATTCTTCCAATGGATAACAATGCTGTTACAATGTACAGAGGTGATGAAGTAGTGCCAGGTATTTGGAAGCAGTGTCCTCCCAAAATATCTCAGGTGATACATCCTCTTCAGGCAGAGATTTATGAGATCATGCTCTGTCTTGTATGTATAGCTACCTCTTTTCTCTCTTCCACAAGTAACATCAGTTCAGTTTCAATGAAAATTTTTGATAGAGGAGTGAAAATATCAGAATTAAGGATACTTCCCTAGTTTTGTGGAAACAGCAGACAAGGAAGAAGGTGGGGAGTCTCCATTATCCTCTCTCTTTTAAGGAGTTGGTTTGCATTCAACTGTTGAACACCAGACAAGCCATAAGGGAAGACAAGCCATATCAACTTACAGAGAAGACTCATCTTTTTGGGAACACTGTAAAAAAAGTCACAAATTAATAGGAAATCAGCTTTTGTTGCCTCAGAGAACTACTCTTGAAAGAAGGTTACTACGTCAGGGGGAGGAGCAGCGATTATGAAGTGATCAGCTGAGTCTCAGCACTGCATACTTAGAGACACCTTGTGTTCTGACTCTTTTATTGCTTATCATTTTACTTGCTATATTTTTGTAACACTGGCTTTTTGTATGTGTTTTGTAACAGTGCTACAACATTTGCTCACTAGTATGTCCTTAAAGAGTAAAGTGATAAATGATTCCCAGTCAGCTTTTAACAGTTGACATCTGCCAGGGTTGTGCAATGTTACAACTAATTTTGGGTGCCTCCATTTTTCAAGGATTCACTCCTTGAAAGTCAGGCCTCTTTCAATTAAACCTTTAGGTTTAACTATTATTAAAACTTTAATAATTCACTCCTTGAAAGTCAGGCCTCTTTCAATTAAACCTTTAGGTTGGACACCTATAGTTATTAGCAAACATTTCCTTTTATAGATGCATAATGTTAAAAGTTTTCTTTAAAACAAATATGTCTTGCCTTAAGAATGTTTCCATTATTATCTATCATTCTGAACATTCTGAATTCATGTCATGTATGATTTACAGACTTGGTTAAAACTAAGCTATAAAAAGTAACAGCCTCAACATAAAATACAAGCTTATCTGGCTTTGGATATTATATCCTAAATTTTGCTGAGCAGCAAGGGGAAAAGTTTATTAAACTTCACTGAAAGAGAAAAATAAAAGCTATGACACACTAGTCACACACTCTTAATTGAAAGAGGATGAAGGATCTCTTATGACAATAGAAGTAGTGACATTACTTTAAAACATGGATTGCAGGCAATAGCACTTGAATTTCAATCAGGTTCATACTACAAAGGTGGTTCAGAATGTAATGCTTACATTATCTGTAAATCAAGAAGTTCATCCTTACTATACAGTGACCTCGTGCAGGCTTTCCTTCTGCATGATTTTGGCTGATAATGAAGACGTGGTCAGTGAAATGCCAAACAGCAAACATGGTTTTTAACACTGTAGACTTCAACCTTTTGTAATGTTTGGTAGACTTATGTGAAGAGGCACAGCTACTTGAAGTTATTTTCTTCACTTCTTTATTGGAAATATCTCTTTCTCAACTTGATTTGGTCAAAGTCCTCTGTCACGGCTTTCAAGCCATCTTGAATGTAGTTTCTGAAACAAATGGGGGAAAAGAATAATTAAAAATACTTTAAAAGGAAAAAAGAAGAGAGAGAAAAAGAGGGGAAGGAAGTGGTGGAAGGAAGGAAGTGGTGGAAGGAAGGAAGTGGCGGAAGGAAGGAGGGAGGGAAAGAAAGGGAAAGGCACGCCAAGGGCCTATATGTCATGAGTGGTAATCTACAAGTCTCCTTACAGTCTCTTACACAGCAACATAATTTTCTTGCCACAGCACCCCAACCTCATCTCCAGAAAAGAGGGAAGCTGATCTCTGAACAGCAAGTACATAAAAGCTGGAGTTGAAAATAGTAAGGGACATTGTCAAATTATTGTTCATTCAGGCTGTTAGAGGAACAATTGATTATTCATTGGCCCAGAGAAGAGGCAATTTGAACAGGCTATGGGGAGAGTGTCTTAGATTTGCCATATAGTGTTTGTGCATAAACATGGCTCTTTTTTAATATTCCATGGCAGTCTCAGTAGGTCTTTGAGACCTACTGCTGTTGATAAGTAATTGCATTTTGCCTATTTCTCTTGTTGCTACTTTTCATGCCATCTAGTACAATACCATGCCAATATGTTTTCACTGCAAATACTTATTTTATGAAATCTGTATGTAATCCAAAAGAGGGGAAGCTGATAGGGTTCATTTGAAGGTTATAATCAAAGCTGACAACAAAACCCTCCTCCACCACCTCCCAACTCCCCTCAAATATCCAATTTACCTGTTTTGTCTCCTGCATCTTTCTTTGAACTGGAGAGAGATACAATGCAAAACTTTGGGCTAAACGTTTCAGAACAGAAGAAAAAAGTGTTTGTAACTTTAAAAACCATTTTGCAGTTCAGATCTCTGTGAAGAACTTGTCTGACTTTAGTTTAGTGGGCTGCGAGGGAGAACCTCAGAGCAGTGCAATCACTGGGTGGCATGTGATAGGATTTACAAAGTTCCAGTAGAAACAGCCCATCCCTGTAAGTTATGTGAAGGGGGTATGATAGATGAAGCAGCAGTGATGGGACATGAACTTAATTGCATTCCTCCCATGCCCTTTTTTTAAGTTTTATATTTTTCATTGGTGGACTTAGCAATTCATTTGGTCTCTACAGGGTGATGGGAGGTGAATAAAAAGTCTGTGAGCCAGACAGTCATCTCCCTGTTCTGCTGGGGTTCTGCCCTTTCCTTTGGGTCTGCTTCATACTGAAGAAAGAAATTAAGTCAAAATAGGACTTTCTCAGGGAAAGCCCATTTATTTTTCTCCTGCTTTTTCTTAGTTTGGGTTAGCTCCCAGAAGTGGTCTGGATAGTGTTTCCAAATAGGAAGTGCATGGAGGGTGAGTCACACAGTAGTACACAGACAAGCACAAATGAACTGCACTTACAATATTAAGTGGTTATAAGTGATTTTTTATTGTTGTTGGTGTTTCTCTGGTATCTAAGAGTAGATATTTAAAAAATTAAGTTTGCTGATGAGCTCTGGACATTCGCAAATACCAGCTTACTTCTTTAAATTCAATATGTATGTCTATAAAACTCAAGTGCCAAAGTCTCTAGATCTGATGGGATCAAGTCTCTAGATCATCTTGACTGATGTCTGTCCTGATAGTGGTTAGCTGTGCAACCCAAAGAACACAGAGAAAATGTCACCAGATTATATGAAAGAATCTGAATTTGGACCCTTTTCCTCAACCCAAGATCTCTTTGCATCCTCTATCCAAAACCTTATGTGTAAATGCACTTGGACAATGAGCCCTTTTGTGACATATTTTTTAAATTGGCTTGTGAAAGATGGATGGTGAGTATCATCACATTGTTGTGAAAGGTCATGCCTCATGTGTCATGCCTCGTGTGTCATGTCTCATTTTAGTATGACTTATTCTTGAAAGCCTAAGCTTCTTTCAAAGATCAGATAGTGCCAACGTCTTGATTATACTAATCAAGCATCCATCTGAAGGAAGCAAATTATGCAGGTGACTCAGAAAAGCTCTGACTCAAAACATACACTTTTCTTATGTTACACACACTAAAGGTCATTCTAAAACAAGTCTTTGACTTTTTATGGAAGACCAGAGTTTGCTAATTCTATGTACAAAATAGATTTCCATCCATTTCCTTGTTAATTTGTGATATGTATTTCTTATATAATACATCTGAATATTTTAGTAATAATTCAGTTGTGGTCTGCTTTGTTTTTGTTGGTTCACATGGACTCACATATGTAATTCTTTTGATTTTCCTACTGTGCATGTTTGAAATGTGTAAGCTGGTTCAGTGATATCTGCTGGTGAATGATGCAGTAATGGAGAGCACAAGAGTACTCTAAGATACACAGGTTTTAATTTTGTTTGAATAGAAATTGGGGAAATATGATAAAGAGATACAAATTAATCTTTTCAGGTTCTTAATCATCTGCATAAGAAGTTGAAAAACATGTCAAAGAAGTCAGAAGCATCCAAGAAAAAGGTATGTTGCATTCACTACTAATACTCATTTGTGTGTATTTTAGTTTTATGTCTAAACTAATTTGGTACTTATTGCTAAAGATGTAACAGAGAGAAGAAATTAAAATTAAGTATTTAATGAAATGTTCAGTGTCTCTCTGAACTTAGCAGACTGGAATCTTTTCTGATCCAGGTTTTCCATCACATTGCCATTACCTGAGATCCTCATATTTGGAACTTCAGAGCATCTGAAATTTAGGCACAAGGAGACAACATGTCTTTTGTGTTAAATTTTTTTTTCCTCTCTGGCATTTTCCCCTGACTTGTAAATCATAAGAATTCTTTTTTTTTTTTAAACTAGCTGATTTTGTGATGTCTTAATTAATAATTCCTATGTTGTATGAGGGACCTTTAAAATGAAATTTTTTGTGCTTCCCAATAGGAATCTAATAAGAGACTTCTCATGATTCTCCAATTTTTCTATTGGTTTTCCATACAATGTTTTCTTCTCTCACATTCAAGACATGTTATGTACTGGATACAAATAGAATCATGAAAGATCTTTAAAGAAGAATATAAGCTTCATGATTTAGAACAATATCTGAAAGATGCATTTAAACAGAGAATTTGTCAGTTAATATAATGTGGGTGTGATTTTTGAGCAGATTTGACCACAGTGATCATTTGAGTGACTTCTCATTTTATGGATGTGGAGGAAAAACCCCTTGAGCTATAGCTCTTCATTTGATCTGATCACTGTTTTCGTATGGGCATGGAGAGTGCCTGCAATGTAAATGAGATATACATGGACTCAACAGGGAATAAATACTCTCTTATTTATGCATTCTCTATTCTTTTGAAAAATATCCTACTTAACAGGTTTTGATTCCAAGAATTAAAAGCATTATGGGCCCAACTCAGTAAAATACTTAACATATATATTTTGCATTTAATGTTGTCAAGGCCAAAGGTATAGCTTTCAAAGACTGTTGTACATTGCCATCTCTCATCTAAATTCTTCTCAAACTGGAAATATCTCTGCATTTCCTCTAACTGCTAACTCAAAAATTGCAGATCTGACTAGGAATTAACTTTCATAGCTTCAGGATAAAGCATTGCAGATATGATCAAGACTGCTTGAATGTATCAGAGTTCAATAGCCAAAGAGGAAAAATAACCAAAAAGCAGTCCAGAATTATTTATTTTTTTTTGCCTTAGAAGATGAGTTTCTAAACCTAAGGCCTAACTCATGTTTTTCGAAACGACTCTGTCTTCATTAGTGTGTTAGTGTTCCCTTTGGTTACCATTCTTTCCTCTTTTCCTTCTACTGTCTTATGAAGAATGCATTTCAGGTGTAATTATACATTTTTTGTTTTATTCAAACCTTTATGAACATTCTAGTAGCAGAATCTTAAAATGAATTTGCTGCCTGTGTGGAAAAAAGATAATGAAAAATATTAATTTGCCTAAGTTCTATTTTTCATGCTTTTTGGTCACAAAGCATCAATATTAATGTCATATGTTTCAGGTAGGTTTTATGCGCTAATAAGAAACCCTCAGCAAGCTCCCAGTAGGTATAAAAGAGCTTCTCTTTAGTGATACCTTGCTTGCAAGACAAAGTGGTGATTTTGGAAAAGTAAGCTCTGAAGTTAGACTTAGGAGGAACAATGGGATAAAGCAGATGTTGTGAGATTTCATAATGCAAAATTGCTTCTTCTGCAGATATGAAATACCTTAAGTGAAAGTTATAAGAGACACATTGCCACCTTCTGCTTTCAGGTGCATCAATAGCCTATTGAATGTCAGTGACTTTCCTGGTTGATTTTTTCAGAATTTTGAATAAACTGAAATAAAATGCCTCTTTTGAAGTAATTGTGTGTGTGGTATCCTGAAAACTTGCTTTTACTTGGAATATTAACCCACTGAACACATCAATCAGGGAAAAAACTGCTCTAAATTTATGCAGCATTCTTGTTAGAACACAATCTCCTAATAAGACCTGAAAAAGTAAATATCTCTGTGGCTGTTTAAGTGGCAACTGATTTAAACTCCATAGGGCCAAGCAGAGGGATGGCTTATGAAAACAGATGCTTGCTTTAGACTAAACATATTATATTAACTGCAGACTTAATGTTCTTTAGTTTCTGTTGTGAGATTATGCTGACCAACAACAGCATCCGTCATAAGTTATTTTGGCCTGTTGCCACAGAAATAAAATTTTTTTTCCCGTAAGTTTTTCTAAGCTAACTCATGTTCTGATTACATAGGTCAGTCTTAATTATTACTGATCATTAATCAGTTCAAGAAGTATAGACCACGTTCAATAACCTAGCAAAAAATCTACATATTTTCAATGCTGCAATATTTATCACTCTGTGACCCCTGAGTTAGTTTTAGATGTGAAGAAGTTATCAGAAAAATTATGTTATAGAGTGTTAATGTAGAAATTATAATGGCTCATGACATAATATGCTTTGGAATTATTATTAGACTTTTATTTGGAGACTTATTTAGTTGAAAGAGGTACTTGGGAGAGTAATAGATATTAATTACTTAGGCCAGTGCAAAGCACTAACTGCTGTTTCTGAAGTAGGTGAATGCTAAAGAAAATATTGACAGTCAAATTCCACTGTGCCCTGACAGAATACCCACAGCACCTGAAGGGTCCCTACCAATTGATTCTGGAGCTTTGAAAGGATCTGGTGAAATTGATGGTCCTCTCATAAATAGTAGAAGTGGTGTGTGGAAGCAGCACTGAGGATATTTTATGTTCCATTTTTTAATGTGTTTGGTGGTGAACTTCTAGATTGGTTTTGATAATGTGCAATCATCAGAAATTTCAAGCCCTTACTTTTTTTGTTATTGTATGGCTCTGAGGAAATTCTGTGTTTAGAGGAGGCACTTCAAAAAGCTTACTTTAGTAAGCACTTGATCAAGGTCTAAGCTTTTCCACCAGCTGTTTTCATGCATAATAGATCTTTCTTGAAATTTTAATCAGAAATTATCATGCACGGTACTAAAATTCATTAGATTAGGATGAGATTTCCCAAAAACCCCTGTTGTTATTATTTTACAACAGGCCTAGGAGCACTTCAAAAAGGCTAAGCTTTTGTGTAGGGAGTTAGGAACATCATTCTTCACCTTTGAGGAAAGTTGTGCATTTGCTGTTTACTATGACACTTTCCAAAGCTGGGGTTTTCCTTGCAGTAGCTCATGATGCAAAATAAAGCCCATATAAGTAATGGGGTGAAATCAGTAACAAATATTGCAATGTGTTCCTTCTCGGTATGCTTTTTGTTGTGTGTTTTTTTTTTCCTCCAAACAGGAGTTTTGAAGTAGATAAAGCTGATTCTTTGAGTGCTCATCAGACATATGTGTTTTCCTTTCCTTGTCTCAGACAGCACAGACTGTTTTGGTGGTGGTAGTGGTTTTTGGCATCTCCTGGCTGCCTCATCATGTGATCCATCTCTGGGCTGAATTTGGAGTTTTCCCACTGACTCAAGCCTCCTTTCTCTTCAGGGTAACTGCACACTGCCTGGCTTACAGCAATTCTTCTGTGAATCCAATCATATATGCATTTCTATCTGAAAATTTTAGGAAGGCCTACAAACAAGTCTTCAAATGCCAGATTGGTAATGAGTCACTTCTGAATGATGCTAAGGAAAATAAAAGTCGGATAGATACACCACCCTCTACCAATTGTACCCACGTGTGAATGTTGAGAAGCCTTGTATGTTGGCTCTTCCTTTATGTAAACTAAACACCAAGGGAAAAAAAAAGCACAATGAGCTTTATCCTGCGTTTATCTTGATAAAGCTAATTGGTATTTAATGTACTGAAGTTGCATTTGTAACCAAAGTTTGTGAAACTCATATGAAAGTAACCTGGGCTGATCCTTTGCATCATAGATACCTTTGTCAAATAAAGCTCTTGGACTTTCACAGATATTTTAGAAAACAAAATGTTGAGATGATATGTCTGTATTCTTACTCACTAAGCATGCAAAGGTACAAGAAGAAGATGTTGATGTGGCCGGGTAACTTTCTGACATCTTACTCCATGAAAGTGAAAAATGGATACATTTCCTGTCCTACAGATAATAAATACTGAACTACTGGGATTTCAAAGAGGAGAGCTTTTGTTCTCTCTTCGGATTGTTTTAACAATGCCTTTTTTTCCTTTGAAGTAAACCCGGGCTCTGATTCAGAGTTGGAATAAGTTGTGTACACCTTGAGGCAATTGTTTTAGAGAGGAAATGCTATCTGTTTAGCTGGTTTTAATATGTCTTACTGAGCAAGGATGGATTGGTTTTCCACTTCATTATGGCTGCCTTACAAGACACAGAACTTTTGTGTACACTGTATAGGGGCTTTTTATGGCCTGTGTGTAATTGTACCAAAAATGAGGATTTGTGTCTAACTGAGGGAAGCTTTTCTTCGTGTGCTGCATGTGCATGTATACGTGCGTTTTGTTAACTTCATAGGCTTTGAGATGGAGATACAGTTTTTAAAGTGCAATGTGTACATATGTTTTAAATTATTATGTTTCATAAAGAATACAGTTTTAAAAGTGCAATGTGTACATATGTTTTAAATTATTATGTTTCATAAAGAATACAGTTTTAAAAGTGCAATGTATACATATGTTTTAAATTATGTTTCATAAAGAAGCTCTAGACAATGCTTAAGGATTTAAAGTTAGCATTCCCTTAAAGAGCTTGATATCATGTAGTTTTAAACTGAAAATATAAAGAAAGTAGCATTTAAATTAATGAAAAGTACATAAGATAAATGGTACAATTCTGCAAATTCTTAGATAAAATTAGTAGTTTTCACAATTTTATAACCTTACTTATAATGCCTTTAGGTGGTAAACCACTAAAGAAATCATGGAAAATGATTAAAATTATGTTTAAATTATTAAAATGATGTTTAAATGATTAAATGATGTTTAAAAACATTCCTTTAGCTGGAGTAAGACATGATTTTACCTTTTTTTATTAATGACCCACAGACTCATAGAGCAAATCAAATTAAAGGAACCTCTGGACATCCTCTCAAGGCAGGGATACCCTCGGAGTTGTATCACTTCCCTGACTAGGCAAAATCTGAAAATTTCTAAGGATGGCAATTCAACAATATATTTGGAGAACCCTGTGCCAATCATCCTCACTAAAATATTTTTCCATATCCACAGGTGGGATTTCCCTTGATGTTTCTTGTGACCATTGCTTTCTTCCCTTTCACTGTGTACTGAAGCCTTTTCTCTAACTGACTAATGTGTAATTTTAAGATGGCCATTGAATTTCCCCTCAGCCTTCCCTTCTGGAACCATGTGCTGCTTCCCCTCAGCCTCTCCTCAGGTCCCTGGCTGTGTCACTAGCCTTCCACTGCCCTTCCTCCAGCATATCCATCCCTCTCATGACCTGAGGTGTACAAAACTGAGGAGTGTGCTCTCAGATGATTACAGAGCAGGGTAATTGCTTCTCTTGATCCTTTGGCTGTTTCTTGCTAATACAGCCCAATATTATCATAATTTATGGCTGCAAGGATACATTGTTGACTTGTATTTAATTTCTGCTTTACAAGCCCTCGAGTCCTTTTCTGCAGATTTGCATTGAGTCCCAGTACAAGTGTCAGGACCTGGCTTTTGGCTTTCTTGATCTTCATGTATTTGACAGCTGTTTCTTCCATGTTTCCAGCTTCCCAAGGGCCCTTTGAATGGTATGCCTGCTCTCCAGAATACCTACCACTCCCCTAGGTTCAGTATTGTGTGCAAAATTGCTGAGAGTCCTAAAACCTTCTCCTGGTCTTTAAAGGTGCTGAATAGTGTTGGCCAGATGCTCTTTCAGATTAAACTGTCTCCACAGACTTACTTTAAGAAAAATAATAATTCAGAGTGGTGGAATGCCAAATATGGAGAGTTAGCTCACGTAAAAATAGCTGTATTTATGTGTCAGTACTGTCTGCTTGGAATCAGTAAAATGTCAAAGACATGCTATTGCATGCGTGGTGTTTGTGTCCATTCTTTCATGTGAAGAGACTATTTGATGATTTTTCTAGGAATAAAAAATCTAAGTATATATAAATGCATACTTATTTCATGTGAAGAGACTATTTGATGATTTTTCTAGGAATAAAAAAATCTAAGTATATATAAATACATATTTGAAAACCTCTCAATTGGAAAAGAAGGGTTTATCTATGCAGGAAACCATTTCCTGGGCTGGGATTGAGGTTTGGAAACAGCCTAGAAAGTTCTCTTGAGTTTTGAGATAGTCGGAAGGGTTTATCTATGCAGGAAACCATTTCCTGGGCTGGGATTGAGGTCTGGAAACAGCCTAGAAAGAAGTTCTCTTGAGTTTTGAGATAGTCACCACCTAAACACTCAAATTATTAAAACATTAGCAAACTTCAGCTGAATTTACAACATTTTAGGAGATTCCACAATTTTGAAAATTGTATTTTTAATTTTTAAAAGTTTCTATTATATGATTTTGAATAAAAATTGGAACGTAAACATATAATTATATAAAAAATTATAATAACAAGCTGAGTTTGCTGTTTTGTCTGGAAAAGAATTTTTTCCCTTAATTGTACATAATTTTAAACCTCAGTGCTTGATAGTAATGGAGCTACCTCTGTCTGAAACTTTTATGATGAAGGAGTGGGAAGTTAGGGACTTCTGTAACAACCAGCTAGAAAGGTCCCACCTTCTTCCTGATGAATATCAGTAAAACTTCCACCTGACTTTTCAGGAAAACCTTAAGAGGCAGCTAGCACTCTAAGACTCAGTTTCGTGCCTGGAAGATGCCTTTGTTGGTCTGTGTCTCTACTGTGACTTTGTCATACTTGTGGCACGAAGGTTATGAATATAGCAGCAGTATTATATGTGTGCTGTGAACTGTGTTACTTGTGGCACGAAGGTTATGAATATAGCAGCAGTATTAGTGTGTGCTATGAACTGTGTCCAGCCCTTGAGCAGCAAGGTGTCCTGCCACAGAAATGGCTGATTTGGGTAGAAAATCAGGGAATGGGTGCTAAGATCCTTTACAACTGAGTATTTGCTTCCAGGTTCTAGGAAGATTGTTGACAGGGACTGTGGTTTCTGGTGGAAAGAAAAGCAAAAGTTTCACATCATTGACTGGCTTAGTATGCTTTGTTACATCTTTTTCTAACCAGAAAGGTTGATTTCAGTGTACATGAAGTAAAGGCAAGAGGAAATAATCCCACTGAATTCCATCCTGTTGTGTGAATTTGAAAATGTTATGCTGTACAAAACAAAATGAGTAACAGGTTTACTCAGATTCTCAAACTAAGGCACTGCAGCAGGTTTCTAACAAAGTTTGCATTTTATATATTACATTTTCTGATTTGCATCACTTTTGCCTTAAAAAGATATAAAAATCTCATTAAAAGAGGTAAAGAAATTATTCCACTAGGGTTCTTAGTGCCATGTTTGCCCTGCCTGATTGTGAGTAGTGTGTTTGAGGTATAATACAAAAGATTACAGCAGTGCTCTTCTTCCTCTAATAAAATCTGAAATACAATTCCAAGATATGTGTGGACCCAGATGCACACTGTGCACTGCTATATATAAATCAGATTTAGGATCCATAGCCAAGAAAACCCCAATTAAATGGCACTTGGCCAACATACTGTTGAATATGTGCAAACATGCAGTAAAAGGAAGGAACTTGTGTAGGTTTACGCTCAGTCATACTACTTCACAGGTAATTGTGTTGCCCACTTAACTCATTTTGAAGAGAGGAATCTTATTAGTTGCAAGTGAAGCTGACACTTAATTGCTGCTTCTGAGTAATTAAGCTACACTGTTCTCAGTCACAAGTATGTACTGAACATATGTAGTAATGTAATCATTCATAATTGCCTGAAATTCTTGTATCAAAAAATGTAGAATTTCTTCAAAATTTTTGTATGGCTATGGTTGGTAACTAAATTTCATGCTGTAACAGATTACAAAGATCTGCTCAAACTGGCTGAAATTATATGTGAAAAACCTTATGACTGGATAAGGAGCACATTTACATTTTGTAGTTGACAATTTTTAAGTTATGGTCCTTTGAGATTTGTATTGCCTTTTACTTTGTATGCATGCATATTTTCCTTCAAACCTTAACTTTATTATTTTCATAATTGATAAGATCTCCATTTTCAAAAAATTGTGTCACTATCTCCAAGAGATAAACATTAAGCTTATATATTTAACGTTGCAGTGAAATAAAGTTTGCTTTGAATCCCATGTGTAGGGAAGGAAAGGGATCTCTTTATTAGAAAAATTTTGTGAATGCATTATTTTATTATGTTATCTTCATGGTTGCTTCACAGTGCGATGTGACCCATTGAACCTAATGATATTTGTGGTAGTTTGAGAAATGAGGACAGCAGAGAAAGGAACAGCTTGTATCTGACAGAGCTTGTGTTAGTGTTGTTTTCAGTACATGCGCAAATGTCAAAGACCAAAAAATTAAAAATTTGTGTTTGTTTCAATGTATAGTGCATGTAAAGTAGTGTGCATTTGTTGTGAGATCTATTGTACTCTGCATGAATTTTCACGGGATAGTTCCAGTAGGTCTGTACCATTTCTTCTTAGCTCTGTCATATGAGATACAAGCTGCTTTCCTTTAAAAATGTTTACATAATAAAAACCAAGAAACATCTTTGGGAAAACTTCCAGAAAAAACTGTGTAAACGTAAAACTGAATAGAGTATGATGGCTACATGTCACTAGGTGTTGAAAATTTAACTGATATAACAATTACTCTGATTTTCATGTACTCACATGGAGGAGGCATGGTCCTCCATTCAGGCTGGTAAGAAGTCTATTGACATTTATGGAACATACTGATATTTCTTAATCAAGTGTAGTTTAAATCTCTGTAATTTATGTATAGTTTAAGAGACAGACAAATAGAGCTAGATTCATATATTTGAATCTGAGAAAAAACTATGAGTCTTTCAGTGGTGTGATGTCCAAAACTCTTTTATGAAAGCCTGTGTGTGGCTCACTTTTGGAAAGAAGAAAGCAGTCAAGTATGTGCATATTTGTGTGTATACTTGCTTTAACATTGATGAAAGGCTATTTCAATACAGTAAAAATATCTGGTTGAGCATGAAACCAAAATACAATCAGTTTTATACCTAATGAAAACCTTTTAAACCAAAAGTAAATGCTACAACATGGATTTAAAATTATGTGCACTTTATCAATTTTACTGTGCAGTACTCAAGAACCCTTTGTGTACGACATTGTTCATGTTGGTGCACCTGGGCCAGATACATTTACTGGATGAAGGCTGAGGTCTCAGTTTATAGAAGTATTTCCCTAATGGCAACATTCTCTTCTTGGAAAACTTTGTACAATTTCCTCTGCATGGTCATTCCGTTCCTCTACAAACATCTAGCCTCATCTAAAATTTGCTGAGAAAAATAAAACCTCTCCTCTATTTATATATCATAGACATTTCTAGCAACACTTGTCAAGAACTTATCAACTTGTTGAAATTTAATATTAAGATTTTGAAAGAAAATACAAAATTACTGCTAATGTCTTATAGTTGTGACATTTTCAGTAGAGGTGATGGTATGACAGTTCCTTTACACTGAATTTCACAAATTAGCACAAGCAAACACATAGTTTTAAGAGAGTAAAATGAAAAGTTGTACATTTGGGAATTAAGAACATGAGGCAAACTCTAAGAATGTATTATTGTACTGGACAATTATGAATCTGATATTGCCAGTAAACTAAACATGACCATCAAATCTGTGTAACTGAAATGACCTGCATAGCCCCTGGAATCCTGAATCCAGAGGATATCGGCACTGGAGTTGAGCCATGGGAAGCACCACTGCAAGGGAGGGGCTTTCACAAAGACATTTCCTAGAACTTCTTAAAAAAAAAAAAAAAAAGCCCAGCTAAACTCTATTAGCAGTTCAGCACAACTTCCTAACCAGATACAGTAGAGAAAACATAAGGAAAGGCTCATTGATCAAGATAAGGACAGGGAGAGGTCAGTCACCAGTTACTGTCATGGGCAAAATAGTTTCAGCTTGGGGAAATTAGTTTAATTCATTACCAATCAAATCAAAATGGGATAATGAGAAATAACCCCAAATTTCAAAAATATCCTCTCCCCACCCTTCCCTTCTTCCTGGGCTCAGTTTTATTCCTATTTTCTTTACTTCTGCACCCTGACCAGCACAGGGGCACAGGGAATGGGGGCTGCAGTCACACTCATCACACTCTGCCACTCCTTCCTCCTCAGGTGGGAGGCTCCTCACTCTCTTCCCTTATTCCAGTGTAGGGTCCCCCCACCAGTGACAGTGCTCCATGAACCTCTCCAATAGGAATCCTTCCCATGGGCTGCAGTTCTTCACAAACTGTTCCAGTGTCAGTCACTCCCATGGATGCTCCCATGGGGTCACAAGTCCTGCCTGCAAACCTGCTCCAGTGTGGGCTCCTCTCTCGACAAGGCCACAGGTCCTGCCAGGAGCCTGCTCCAGCATGGGCTTCCCATGGGATCCCAGCCTCCTTCAGTCACCCACCTGCTGCAGCTTGAGGTTTTCAGGGGGTGCAGGTGGATCGGTGCTCCACCATGGATTTCCAAGGGTTGTGGGGGCACAGCTGCCTCTCCATGATCTGCACCACATGCTGCAGGGGAATCTCTGCTCCAGCACCTGGAGCACCTGCTCCCCCTTATTCTGCACTGACCTTGGTGTCTTCAGGGCTGTTTCTCTCACATATCCTCTCTTCCTTCTCCCGCTGCAGTTCCCATACCCCATGCCCCCTTAGCTGTGTTGTGCCAGAGGCAATACCACTGTCACTGGTGCGCTCGGCCTTGGCCAGCAGCGGGACCATGGAGCCATGGAGCTGGCTGGCACTGGCTCTGTCACAGCTTCTGGCACCTTCTCCCTGCAGCTGCCCTGCTACCAAAGCCAACTGACGTAAACTCAGTGCAGGGGGCTCTTGT